GCCGCGCCGACCGGACGCCCGCCCCCACCGAGCGCCGCCGGAACGCCCCCCCCGCGCCGCCAGAGCCCGCCCCCCGCCGACTGCCGCGCCGCCGGAGTGCCCCCCCCTCCCCGCAGAATGCCGCGCCGGGCTCCCCCCGCCGCCCCTTATCAGGTGCCGCCCCAAGCATGTGCTTGGGTGCTTGGTGCCTGGAGCCGGCCCTGCACAGATAGATAGGAAGGATGCTGGGGGTCAGAGGAAAAAAGTCGGTAGTGCAGTGCCCCAGCAATTTTCAGTCTTTTGGGACCACTCCAGCTGCTGTAACCTAGCTATTCTCTTAAGTGGCTACTGGATTGTGATAGTGGAACAGACCCTCCTCAGCTACACCAAGAGAAAGCACTCTGGCCCATTCTAGTGGCAAGGGATGTACATCTGTCAACTATGTCTTCAAGATACAGAAGCAAACTTCCCTGATGATCAAGATGCTGCATCCCAGGTTTTGGTTCATGTCCTTTAGAAATAATATGTATTAGAAAACATCTTTCAAAAATGTTTAGAGGGTGCCAGTAACTCCATAAAGGGAGCTGTCAGATACATTAGGCTCATAATGTAGTTGTGCTGCAATTAAATGAAACATTTTTACAACTCCTAATGTTAATAGAGATGCTTATAAATTAAAATCTAAAAAATGGGTTTCTATTTTATGTAAATATTTCCCTGGAGCTTTGCATATTCTCCCCCCCCCTCCCCCCCCCCAGCCAAAAACCAAACAAGCAAAAACATCATTGTGCTAAGGCAGGAGAGAGAACCAGCAAGAAAAACCAACTGTAAATAAAGGCCCAGATTTTCCATGGCAGTTTCTGCTGGCTGCAACAAGCGCTGGGAGACCTGTAGGAGAAAATTATGCTAGTTGAATGCCTGCTAGGGATACACCCTGAGCTGATTGAAATGCAATGTACAAAGAAATGGGACACATGATAAAAACTGCATTTGATTTTTAAACAATTCTTTCAGTTTAAATCATCTTAGCTGTTATCACAGTAATTTAATATTACGGTTTTAAATACTGTGTGTGGTTTTTATCTTTGCAATTTGGCTTTATATCTACATCTTTTGAAATCCTCGTTGAAGAGTAAAAATAACAGTGTAGATATTCAGTAATGTATTTGACTTTCCTGGTAACCCCTTTTAGCTCCACTCCTGCAATGAGCAATGTTTGAGTACACTCTTTTACTTACATGGAGCCCCACTGAAGGCAGGGTCCACTCCGACAGACCTCATTGCAGGATCAGGGCCTTCTTGAACAACTAGTTAAAATGCAGATGGGTTCTGCTGACCATCTACTATGGCTAATTCCCAGTGTGGACAAGGTTTCTGTATTGTCTGGAATCTCTGTTAGTTTTTGCATAACGATTTCTTGTTAACATTGCAAGTTTTCCCTCCATCTTTCCTCTGTTTAGGTTCACAGAAGTGATGTTACAGTCGTAGTGTTCTTCATCATGCCAGCAAAGACGAACAATTTCAATGTGGAAACACTGAAAGGCCAAGCAGTACGAAAGCAACTATGGTAATCACCATTCTCATTACTGCTCTTGAATGGTGAATTGAAGGGATAAGTGAATGGCTTTGGTGGAGAATAAGGCTCATTACTTTCCCTCTTGCTAAATACAAGATAGTAAGTAACCTGAGTCCATTTGTGGGGAAGAGGGAGATAAGGATAATAAATTAGGGCAGGTATTTCCCCTTCCTCTTTCTAGTTTATTAACAAGGAACCGGATTCTCGGTAGCTTTGCCCTTGTCACCATTTATACCCCATGTAAAGTGAATGTTAAACACTAGCATTACAATCGGAAGGTTCGCGTTTTGCACTTAGTTGACATGGGTGTGACAACACAAGGTTTTGACAGTGGAGAATCAAGCTCTGGGTCTTTTGTCTGATCCTGATACTCACTTTGGACCACATCCTGCCTTTGATCTCCAGCAACACTCATAACGCTAACTGCAGGAGTGAAATGAGCACAATACATAGATCTTGGGTAGTGTACCCTTCAGAGTATAAGGCAAGCTTTCTTCATCAAGACTTTGCTAGTATAACTGTCACTGGGTGGAAAGGAGTTATTTACTCCCATTCTTTTATTATGAAATATGGAGCATGAATTGGCCACTCATGCAAGATGATGCTATAGTAGATGATGATATTTATTTCTCAAGAGCCTGCACGAAGCTATGGCCACTACCCCAAATTTCAAACACACAGTTAGAAGTCTAATATTTTTTTTTAAAAAGTTCCTCTGTTTTCCCAATTAATAAACTCTCCTCTCAAACAACTAAAGCCACTCTACCATGTATTTGGTGGGGCATCCCACTAAAATTAGCCTTCAACCTCCAGCCATTCCATCTAATAACCCCTTAATTTCTCCTTTATTCCAGGTGAGAAAAGATAGGCTTTACTATGTAGTTTTATGCAGACAAGTCCTCTAAACTTATAGGGCCAAATTCATCAGTGAAACCAGTGGAATCATATCGAGATTGAACTGGGCTTAAAGAATGCAAAACCTGTTTCACTGAACACATTCATAGACTAGTTGTTATTTGATAAGGGAAATAAACAATTAAAGGTGGATTCCTCACAAGTGGCTAAACCGACTAACCTTACCTGCACATTTGAGAAAGCTGGTCTTAGGGTTAAGGGACAAAGAGCCATAAAACCTGGGTTCTGTTCTTGTTTCTGAGTCATTGGACATTTAACCTCTCTGACTCAATTTTCCTATTTGTAAAATGGTGATGATACTCCCCACCTTTCTAAAATACTCTGATATCTATGAGTGAAAGGCACGATATAAGAAATGGGTTCTAGTATTGTTATTAAATGCCTCAAAGGGGTGTTTGATGGCTCAGTTGATTAATATTAGTAAATTATTTTGAGATCCTTGAATGGTTCATATGCGAAGTACACAATAGTAACAGAAGTAGTATCCTTGGGATCACTGAACTGATCTAGTAGTTGCCATGTACAGGGATGGTGAGTTGTATGGGCCCAGCAAATTCAGGGCCCGGGGGTCTGCTCCACCAATGTTTGGGGCCAGGTCTCTCCCCTGGCCCCATCTACTACCCCCGTGTGTCTCCCTCGAGCATCCCTGCCTGCCCTGGGCAGTGGGCGGCTGCTCTCTGCAGCTCCACGCTGCGCTCCATCACCAGCCACTGCTGCAGCCAGCTACAAGGGAGTGGTGCCAGGGGCAGGCTGAGGTAGCTCGTTGCTGCCGGAGGGGAGAGGGCTGGGGGGAGGAGTCCTCTTTGCCCCCCTGCCCCAGCCCTGGGGCAGCCTGCCTGCTGCACCCCAAACTCCTCATCCCCAGCCCAGTCCCATGTCCCGCACCCCCTCCCACATCCCAACCCTCTGTCCCAGCCCAGAGCCAGCACCCACACCCAAACTCCCTCGCACACTCTCTCTTGCACCTCAACCCTGTGTCCCAGGCCAGAACCCATACCCAGCATCCAAACTCCCTCTCAGAGCCCACACCCAGCACCCTAAACCCCCTCCTGCACCCCAACCCCCTGCCCCAGCTTAGAGCCTGCACCCAACACCCAAACTCCCTCCCAGAGCCCACACTCTTTCCTACACCCCTGCCCCAGCACAGAGCCTGCACCCAGCACCCAAACTCCGTCCCAGAGTCAGCACCCCTCTGGCACCCAAACTCCCTCCCAGAGCCTTAGGTGCTGGGGCGGGAGGGGGACACACACACGACTTGGACCTGTTCTGGGCCCCACCAAAAATTATATAAACCTGCCACCCCTGGCCATATATGAAAGAGAGAAATCAGATCAGATTTGTTCCTCTGCCACAGTTTTCACATAGGAATACCTTTATCAAGGGCATCCAAGACACATTCTCTCCAGTCATCCCTCTAAAAACAGTTGCCTCAACGACACCATGCTTTATTCAGTGGAAGGCTATTCCCTCTTAAAAGAATACATGAAATTTACTGGGAGTTGTACCTGTAGTTTTTCGCAAGAGCTGCTTGTCCAAAGCATCAGTCCTGTGACTAGAAACACTCTATAGGAGTGAAATCCTGGCCCCCTTGAAGTCCATGTGAGTTTGGTGATTGACTTCAGTGAGGCTAGGATTTCTCTCAAGGTCGGATGTAGGACACTTTGTGCACCATGAGAAGCAGCCAGGTTTACAATAAGCATTTTGACCTCTCTTGTGTTTCTCAGAAAAAATAAAAAGGGAAGTTTTAAATAAAGAGAAACATACAAAGGGAAAACAGTGGGGCTTCGCTGGGGTGAACGGAAGAGCCTGTTGTAGCTACAGTATGTGGTCAATGATTTTCCAGTGCAACTCAGGATAAATTGATCCCATCTACCTCAGCTCAGCAAGTGAAAGCCATATAGGGTGCATTGTACCTGCACTGCTCGCAGGTACTCGAGCTGTGAACAGCCTTTGAGCAACCATATGCAGTACTGTGGTAATCATCATCTTAAGCTGCTGGATAAAAAGACCTGCCATCAGCATTACCTTGTAACACTAGCTGATATCATGGATGCCATGGAGATTAAATGCCAAAAGAGGTTGGCAGTAATCAGGGGATAGAAGTTGGCTGATCTGGGAGATAAAGCCCCATCTTCCTGTGCTGTGAACTAAGCAGCCTATCCTATTTGAATAAGTTTCAGAGGCAGCTTGTGGCATGAATCCAAGTGGAGCCTTATTTAGCTTTCCTCACGCAGTTCCCTTTGTTTTCTCCCAGTTCACCTCAAATATTCATTAGAAATGGCCCCAGGCTGCAAAATTCAGATCAGAATCCAGCGTTCTGCAATATTCAGTGGGGTTCAGCTCATTTTACAGATGGAGTAAATAACAGACTTCACATCTAGACTCTTCCAAACATTACAAGCGCAATCAGACTTGGCTCTGCCCACTGGTAGGGTGAAAGCAAAAGAAACTCCATAGTCAAGGAAGCATTGAGAGTCAAACTTAAATCACAATTAAAACCCCTCTCTTTCACATACTGATTTAATTCAGTCTCCAAATTTAGCACAATAACTCTGCAGGAAGCCATTGAATTTTCCATGCAATTTTTTTTTTATTTACTAACTTTTGTAAAAGGAAAAACTGCTCAAAGCACCCCTTTTGCAATGTTTCCTGCCAGACTTACTCTTTTGCTTTCCTTAGCTAAGGGAACACATTCTCAATGACTCCCAAACGTCTCACACTCGCATGCATTCTCAGAACAGCTCAGGGCTGGGACACTTTTGAAAGAGGGTCAGAGAGGTGGGGGTCACACATTGAGTTGACTCAGGAGCAGAGCTGCCACTTCTGGTTAACCCTGTGTGGCTTGCTGGAAGGTCACCCCAGTTTGATGGACCAGAGGTGAGCAGACTAACAGGGACTCTTACTGGGGAGGATCAAGACCTTCCAGGGAATGGGGGGTGGGGCCTGGATGAGGGGTAGAATGGACATGAAGGGAGAAAATATGTGGAGAAGGCACAGATGTTGGCATGGGGGCTGGAGAGCAGTGCTGGTCAGTGGAGTTCTCTGCTGAACCTCTGACCCCTGCTGTTTAGATGGGCACAGATTCCCTTCCTACACTCTTGGCCCTAATGCCCCTGCAGCCTCCCTGGCTTGATGCCCTCCCCACTCTTCCACGTACACCCCATAGCCCCATTCCACATTTACATGTTTAATAGTGTTCATTCTTGAGAAGATTTAATTTATACACGTGAAAAATAAACATTAGTAACAATGAGTGATAGTAAAAATGAATGAAGTAGAGAAAACATGTCATTTCAACTCCCGCCATAAACATCATGATGACCAGGAACACCAGGCTGTAACTTCATAGAGTCATAGAGCTTAAGGCCAGAAGGGCCCACCAGATCCTCTAGTCTGACCTCCTGTATAGCACAGCCCACCAACACCACCCAGCACCCGCACACTAAAGCCAACAACCAGACTTCAGCTCTGTGTTCTAAAGATGGTATAATTCTGAATGGTCACAAACGTGTATATATTTACTGCACTGCAGAGAAACATACCTCGCAGCAAGCATGGGCAGTCTGACACCAAGTCTGTCTGTACTGAGGATATTTGTACTGATGTAGCTATACAGATGCAAATCCTCATTGCAGACACCAGGGCCGGCTCTAGGTTTTTTGCCACCCCAAGCAAAAAAATTTTTGGCTGCCCCCCCGTCCCAGCCCTGGGCTCCTCGCCGCACCCCCTTGCTGCCCCAGCCCTGGGCTCTTCTCCACCACCCACACCCCCCTGCCTCCCCAGCCCTTGGCTCTCACCCCCCCAACCACACACCCCTGCCCGCCCCAGCTCTGGATTCCCCCCACACACACCTCCTGCCGCCCCAGCCCTGGGCTCTCT